AAATAGAATAGAATAGGAAATAGAATAGAATAGGATAGAATAGAATAGAATAGAAATACAGAATAGCAGAATAGAATAGGAAATAGAATAGAATAGGAAAGAATAGAATAGAATAGAATAGGAAATAGAATAGAATAGAAATACAGAATAGTAGAATAGAATAGAATAGGAAATAGAATAGAATAGAATAGGAAATAGAATAGAATAGAATAGGAAATAGAACAGATTAGAATAGAAATACAGAATAGCAGAATAGAATAGAATAGAACAGAATAGGAAATAGAATAGAATAGAAATACAGAATAGAATAGAATAGAATAGAATAGAATAGAATAGAATAATGGAATGGAATGGAATAGAATAACACAGTTGGAAGGGACCTTGGAGGTCTTCTAGCCCAGCCCCCTGCTGAATCAGCTGACCCTATCCCATTTCAGACCAATGGCTGTCCAGTCTCTTCTTAAAAACCTCCAGCCTGGGAGCATCCACAACTTCTGGAGGCAGATTGTTCCACCGGTTAATTGTCCTCACTGCCAAGAGGAGGAGGAGGAGGAGGAGAGCACAGTACTCACCCATCTTCAATCAGCATCGGGGTGCCCAAGGGATCCAGGTCCTCCGCGGACACCAGCTGGCTGATGAGCAGCCCGTGGGCCTGGGGGTCAAGGGTGCGGGGCTGGGGGGGCAGCAGGGCGGTGTGAGTCGGGCAGCTGAGAAGGTGCGGCAGGTACTGGTAAGGGGCGGACACCGGCGTGCCCATGTACTGGTCCCTGAGAACTGTAAACCCGTTCATCTCCACCGACCTACTGGAAGAGGCAAAGCAGGGCTGAGAGAGAAGGGAGGGGAAGAGACCCCCGACCGATCCGAACGCCTTCCCCCCTCCCCAATCTCCTTGCCCCCAATCCTGCCCTCCCCGGAGTCCCACCTGGAAGAGGGCGTCGAGACCGGAGAAGGCTGATTGCTCTCCGACACCCCGTTGCCCGGGGAGCTGTTGTCGCTGTCTCCGTTGTTGCACCAGGAGATGTTGGCCTCCCCTTCGAATTCCTGACCGGACATGATCCGCTCGATCTCTTCCTCGGAGATCTGTCCCGGAGAGAAGGAAACCAGCCGGGGAGAGGAGGGTGAAAAAAACGGATTGCTCGGATCTGGGTTGACGGCTTGTTCAACCAGCAGAAGAGAGGCGAAACCCGCCCTCTGGGGAGGGGAGGGGAAGGGAGACAGGTGGGAATTTGGAGGCAGCGGCAAAGCCACACCTGGCAAGGCAAAAGGACTCACCTGGACAGGTCCAATGCTCTTGTTCCTGCCCCCCGGCATGCCGTCTTCGCGGATGGCTGGCAAGGAAGGGAAAGGAAGGTGGTTAGGACTCCAGCCAGGTGCCCATCTAACCACCCACGGGGTCTCCTCTCTAGAGGCTAAGCAGACGTACCTGTCCTTTTTTCCCTGCGTGCTTTTATATTTAGAGCAGGGGTCCCCAACCCCCGGGCCGTGGACCGGCACCGGGCCGCGGCACGCCAGCAACCGGGCCGCACAAACAAGCAAAGCCCCATCCGCGGGATGCAGGCAGCACACGAAACCACGCGCCCTCCGGTTCGCGGGAAAAACCTCTCTCCGCGGAACCGGTGATCCCCGGTGCCCGAAAGGGTTGGGGGCCTCCGATTTGGAGAGTCTTTTGCTGAGTGATAAAAGGCCTGGAGACCGCCTCCCCCTTGACCGTAGCTGTCCTATGAGGTCCTGACCAGGAGGAGGCGCTACATGACCTGTTTTGTGCTCAAGGCAGGACTCTCCAGACCAGGATGGGCCTCATCCCCGTGTTACAGGTGATCCTGGAGTTAGAACCAGTTAAGCCTGGCCCCAAATAAATAGTCTTTTAAGTCATGCCAGGTGTGGACGGGGGGAAGAAAGAGCAGAGAGACTGGAAGAAAAAAAAACATTTTCAAGAAAGTCCAGTTCCTTTTTTGGAAAAGCACTTTTGGGACCCTTGCCTGATCTTCTCTCAGCACAGCTTCCCCCCTTCTTGGATGTTCTACCAGCAGCGAAACAGGCCCCAAACAGAAAGAGAGGCCAGCCCAGCTAAGAAAGTTCACCGCCAGCTTCTGTTCTAGATGAGTCAATCTCCTTAAGTCTTCCTCGGTGGCCTTCAAGCGGACAAGCTAATCTAGGACTTGACTCTGCAAGGGTTAATAGAGCTGGAAGGGGCCTTGGAGGTCTTCTAGTCCAGCCCCCAGCTCAAGCAGGAAACCCTATACCATCTCAGACAAGCGACTGTCCAGTCTCTTCTTAAAAACCTCCATTGATGGAGCACCCACAACTTCTGGTGGCAAGCTGTTCCACTGGTTAATTGTCCTCACTGTTAGGAAGTTCCTCCTTAATTCCAAAATTGCTTCTCTCCTTGGTCAGTTTCCATCCATTGTTCCTTCTCCTGCCTTCTGGTCCTTTAAGAATAATTTGCCCCCCCTCTTCTTTGTGGCAGCCCCGTCAAACACAGGCAGCCCTTGACTTATGACCACAATCGAAGCCAACATTTCTGTCCTTAAGTGAGATGTTGGCTGAGTGAGTTTTGCCCCCTTTTACGACTTTTCTCGCCTCGGTTCTTAAGCGAATCACTGCAGTTGGTAAGTTAGCAACCTGGTTGTTAAGCTAAACTGGCTGCCTCCCCCCCTTGACTTTGCTTATCAGACGGTCCCAAAAAGTGATCCTGTGACCTCGGGACACGGCAACGGTCGTAAATACGAAGCGTGAGAATTTTGATCATGGGACCCTGCAAAAACTGGGAGAAACAGCCAAAGTTTTTATCCAGTGCCACCGTTGTAACTTTGAACGGCCACTAAACAAATTTTGTTAAGTCGAGGACTCGGCTGTGCTGGAAGGCTGCTGCCATGTCCTCCCCCCCCTTGAGGCTGTGGCTGGTTCAATGCAGGACCAAGGAGGATCCAGGAGACCCCTTCCCACCCAACTCCCCCCCCCCCCACCGGGGTCTTCCCGCCCGATCAGCACCTTTCCGGTTCATCCCCATCTGGAGGCACTTGAGGAGTCGGCAGTACTGGCAGCGGTTGCGCTGCTTGCGCGACATGACGCAGTTCTTGTCACGGCTGCATCGGTAGACCCGCCGGTTGCAGATGCTGCGCTTGAAGAAGCCCTTGCAGCCCTCGCAGGAGATGATGCCGTAGTGCAGGCCCGTGGCCCGGTCCCCGCAGATCAGACAGGTACGCTGGTCCACCCGGTCATCTGCGGGAGGAAGCCAAAGATGACCACGTGAGGACGGGATAGGATAGATAGAATTCAGAATAGAATAGAATAGAATAGAATAGAATAGAATAGAATAGAATAGAATAGAATAGAATAGAATAGAATAGAACAGGACTCAGAATAGAATTTAGGATAGGATAGGATAGATAATAGAATAGATAATAGAATAGAATAGATTGTAGAATTAGACTAGACTAGACTAGACCAGAAAAGAAATAAGGAATAGAATAGAAATACAGACTAGAAATACAGAATAGAATAGAATAGAATAGAATAGAATAGAATTAGAGTAGAATAGATTAGAATAGAATAGAATAGAATTAGAATAGAATTAGAATTAGAATTAGAATAGAATAGAATAGGATTCAGAATAGAATTTAGGATAGGATAGGATAGATAATAGAATAGAATAGAATAGATTGTAGAATAGAATAGACTAGAACAGAAAAGAAATAAGGAATAGAATAGAATAGAAATACAGAGTAGAAATACAGAACAGAATAGAATAGAAATACAAGGTAGAAATACAGAATAGAATAGAATAGAATAGAATTAGATTGGAATTAGATTAGAATAGAATATGGAATGGAATAGAGCAGGGCTGGAAGGGACCGTGGAGGTCTTCTAGTTCAGCCCCCTGCTCAAGAAAGTAGCCAACCAGCAATGGGGAGGGACACCTCTTGACAAGCAGACTTGGTGGGACTCAAAGCGTGGCCCTTTTAAAGGAGTTCTTGGGCCCAGAATAACAAGAGATGGAAGGGACCCTGGAGGTCTTCTAGTCCAACCCCCCCTGCTCAGCCAGGAAGACCTATACCATTTCAGACCAACGGTTCTCCAATCTCTTCTTAAAACCTCCAGCGATGGAGCACCCACAAGTGAGGAAACACTGCTTAGGATCATAGGGCTGGAAGGGCACCTTGGAGGTCTTCTAGTTCAGCCCCCTGCTCAAGCAGGAGACCCTATGCAATCTCAGACAAGTGTCTGTCCGGTCTCTTCTTATAAAACCTCCAGTATTGGAGCATTCACAGCTTCTGGAGGCAGGTTGTTCCACTGGTTAATTGTCCTCACTGTCAGGAAGTTTCTCCTTAATTCCAGGTTGCTTCTCTCTTTGATCAGTTTCCATCCATTATTTCTTGTCCTGCCTTCTGCTGCCTTGGAGGATAGGTTGACACACACACACCCTTCTCTGGGGCAGCCCCTCAAAAGTCAGAACGACGCTATGAAGGTTCAGAGGGAGGGGTGAGATTTGGGGGGGGGGGCTGGCCAAGCAAGACAGAGAGAAGCAAAACAGCTGGATTCAAGCCAGCTTCCCTGGCTGTAGAAAGTTGGCTTCCTCACCCCAAAGTGTGAACTCTGGTGGGTGTGAATGTTTACCCCTGCCACTTGTTCTCCTGCTTCCGACTTCAACTGGAACCAGGTGGCGAAGAAAAAGCGGCCCGCACGAACTCTTCCAAGCTCCAACTTAATAAGGCAGCTTTGGGGGGGGGGAATAAGAGACAGGGAGACCAAGCACCCCCCCTTCTTCCCAGGAGCAGAGCTGTCATCTTCCACTAAGCCAAGGTTTCCCATCCTGGCTTGGACAGAATGAGGCCAAAGAGGGCTCTACCAGCCCCCCCCACGGGCAGGCATCCGCTAATCATGGCTTGAAACAGAGATGTCAAAAGTCCAAAAGTGCCTGCGCGGTGCCCCCCAGCAAGCAACTTGACATGCCAAGGCCTGGCCCCTCATTATCCCGGATCCTTGGCTGACCCGGCTTCACGTGGCGGCCCACTGGGGCTGGCTAGGACCCCCCCCACCTCCTTCCAAAGGGCCTGGGTTTATCCTACGCACCCCCGACCCAATTCCCAATGGCTATTTTCATTGCCACCGAAGAGGGAACCCATTTGGGACAGAAGAGATTTGGCCCCCACCGCGCTCTGCAAATGGGGTTAAAAATTGAGTTTTTCACTCGGCCAAAGAAGGGGTGTGAAGGAGCCCACAACAAACAGGCCTTTACAGCCAAAGGGTCTGTTGTGGTGGCATAAATGGGGGAGGGGAGGGACTTTAGGTCAGGAGGGTCCACCCAGCCCTCCCCCCCCTCCTACTTTCGCTTAGTAGCTGCACATCTCAAGCAGAGTTACTGTACGGATTTTACAGGCACCCCCCGGGCATTTTTATCTTGGCTTTTGGTTATCTGATGAGCAGAGAAAAAAGAGAATTAATAGGGCTCCCTGGGTGGGTTTTGAGTTTTTCAGCCCTCTCCCCATGCAAGCCACCAATCCTGGTTGGGGAGAAGGAGGAGGAGGGGGGGGCAAAGGACCATGCTGGAGGAGGAGGAGGAGGGGGGGCTGTGGCCAGGCAGATGCCCCTGGCCAAAACCCTCCAACTGGAGAAGGCGCAAAGGCAGCGGATGAATTTCAAAAGCTTTGCTCCAGTGACTGCACAAACCGGAGCAATGTGGAAGCTTGCTTCAAGACTCAAGGAGGGGCCGACAAACGGAGGCATTGTTTGGGAGAAAGGCCTGGGGGGGGGGGGCAGGGGCTGGCAAGGCCCTCCATCATTTGGAAAGTGGGAAGCCACCCACCCACCCAGAGCTTCCATGGGAACAGGCCGAGAGAGTCTTGATTTTCCTAGCTTGGGGGAAGGAGAGGGAGGGAGGGAGAGGAAAGAAGGAAGGAAGGAAGGAAGGAAGGAAGGAAGGAAGGAAGGAAGGAAGGAAGGAAGGAAGGAAGGAAGGAAGGAAGGAAGGAAGGAAGGAAGGAAGGAAGGAAAGGGAGGGAAGAAGGGAAAGAAGGGAAGGAAGGAAGGAAGGAAGGAAGGAAGGGGAGGGAAGGGAAAGGAAAGAAGGGAAGGAAGGAAGGAAGGAAGGAAGAAAAGAAGGAAGGAAGGAAGGAAAGGGAGGGAAGAAGGGAAGGAAGGGAAGGAAGGAAGGAAGGAAGGGAGGGAGGGAGGAAGGGAGGAAAGGGAGGGAAGAAGGGAAGGGAGAGAAGGAAGGGAGAGAGGAAGGAAGGAAAGGACAGGAAAGAAAGAAGGAAAGAAGGAAGGGAGAGGAAGGGAGGGAGGGAGAAAGGAAAGGAAAGGAAAGGAAGGAAAGGGAAAGAGGGAGGAAGGAGATGGGAATGAGAGGTAGGAAGGGGAGGGGAGGGGAGGGGAGGGACCCTTCCCGGCAGGCCTCTTTAAGTCAACAAAAACTTTTTGTTATTGTTTAGAAACACCAAGATTTTTCCCTATTACCAAGCAAAGAGGGTCAGCTCAGCTTGGTTAATTAAAATCAAGAGCGCCATGCGCTTCCCCCCTGGGATTTGCTTCTCTCTCTCTCATTCTCCCTCCCTCCCTCATTCTTTCTCTTTCTTTTTCTCTCTCATTCTCTCTCTTTCTCTCCCCCTCCCTCTCCCTTTCTTTCTTTCTCTTTCTTTTTTTCTCTTTCAATCTCTCTTCTCCTCCGTCCCTCTCTCTCCCTCATTCTTTCTTTCTTTCTCTCTCCCTCCCTCCTTCTTTCTCTTTTTCTCTCATTCTCTCTCTCTTTCTCTCCCCTCCCTCCCTCTCCCTTTCTTTCTTTCTTTCTTTTTTTCTCTCTCATTCTCTTTCCCTCCCTCTCCCTCATTCTTTCTTTTTCTCCCTCCCTCTTTCTTTCTTTTTCTCTTTCCCACTCCCTCTCCCTCTTTCTTTCTTTTTCTCTCATTCTCTCTTCCCCTCCCTCTCTCCCTCCCTCATTCTTTCTCTTTCTTTCTTTTTCTCTCTCATTCTCTCTTCCCCTCCCTCTCTCTCCCTCATTCTTTCTTTCTTTCTTTCTCTCTCCTTCCCTCCCTCATTTTCTTTCCCCCCCTCTCTCATTCTCTCTCTCTCTCTCTCTCTCTCTCTCTCTCTCTCTCTCTCTCTCTCTCTCTCTCTCTTACACACACACAGGTCCGGTCCAGCCCCCCCAGCCAAGGGGGGAGCGCCCAGGCAGCATTAAGCCCCTCTGCCCAAAACCGAGGCCTCCCCAGGGACTGTGCCAGCCAGAATCCCCGATCTCAAGCCGATGGCGGCTGCCCCTCGGCTGTAGGGCTCAAAGGGGGGCAAGTGAGCTGCTGACGGGGACAGGCAGCCACTTTGCAGAGGTTTCTGGGGTGGGGGTGGGTTGCCATGCATCGTCCCACAGAGGGGGGGGAGAGAACCTCTGCTGCTTGCCCCCCCACCCCAAAGGTGGCAGTTTGCCACCCCACCGGCCCAGCCTGGCTAGCTGGACCGTAATAACCACACACCTCCTTGGGCAACTTCACACTTCTCTTCCTCCTCCTAATTCTCTCCCCCCCCCCTCTCTCTCTCTC